CCGCATCAATTAGGTACTACATCAATTAATTTTTTGGCAAAACTTTACTTTCACTTTAATTCCATGAATCTAGACAACCGCGATTTGGTATTATTAGTCGTCAGAGTCTCACTGTGGCCTGTAGAATACTAATTAATTTTAAGTTTTAATTTTAAATTTTTTTGTTAAACGAGCCGAGCCAGAGCTTTTAAAATCAAGACGAGCCCGAGCTCAAATTTTTAAGCTCGTCACGAGCCGATCCAGAGCCAGAGCCAAAGCCAGAGCCAGAGCCTGAGCCCGAGCCCGAGCCTGAGCCTGAACTGATCCCATAAACAAACGAGCCGAGCCCCGAACAACCTAAAGCTCGGCTCGGCTCGGTTCATTTACAACCCTAAACGTGAAATCAACAGAGGATTTGGATGGATTATGGTTACACATAAGAGCTTGGAAAAGGTAAATTGTGAGATTTTGAAAAGATTTCGGATTCGCCCTCTTCCACGACGCCCACCCAATTCCCCCACCTCCGCCAAAATTTCATCACCGAGCTCAATTCCATTACCGCCGTCCTCCATTGTCGTTTCCCCACACCTTGTAACTTCTTATTTTTGTTCTGACCCATGAAACCCTCCTCTAAAATTCCTCAATCACAACGGCCTCACAATCTGAGCTAATCCAAGAAAAACATATCAAAATCTATCTTCTCCAAATACATCAACACTCACAATCCGAGTAATCCAAGAAAAACATATCAAAATCTCAAAATCCAAGGGAAGAATATATATAAATATATATTTGTATATATAGATTATTACAAGGGAAGAATTTTTTGAGGATGCGAAGGATCTTGCAACCTTGTTTGTCTCTACCTTTGATCTTGATGATTTGACCGTGTCTCACTCGGCACTTCTTGAAGCGGGGGTCGGCAGTGATGGTTGATAATGTGGTGGTCAACGATAAGGAGGACGATGAGGAGAATGGTGAGGCCGATGGACAAAGGCGGCTTGAATGAAACCCTCCTTCACCATGAACACGGGTGAGTTAAGAGAAGGGAGAAAAATTCACCAAAAAAAAAAAAAAAAATTAAAGCTAAGAGAAATAAGATTTCATTACCCACATTACCCAAAACGACGTAGTATTGGTCAATGCCTATTTGGATAATTTCAACTTCTTCAAATTTTTTATTATTATTGAATAAAGAATATTGGGGGGTATTTTCGTATTTTTACCGACCCCTATAACAAAAAGCCCTTATTTGGACTATTTTAAAACTACAGGGGTGGCTTTTGAACACCAGGGGTGTTATTTGCACATTTTTAAAATAGTGCAAATAAGGGCTTTTTGTCATAGGGGTAGGTAAAAATACGAAAATACACCAGGGGTGCTATTTGCACATTTTTGAAATTACAGGAGTGTTTTTTGCACTTAACCCAAAAAGATAAGGATGAAGAAGGTGGTGGTGGGGTCAATTGTAGAATTAGTGTCCTCTGCATTGAATTGATATTTGTATTGTGTCGATACATTTTTCCTTTATATGAATCTACTTTGTGACTTGGTGAGGATACAATGAAAAGAGTCGGAAAACCAGAGAGAGAGACAGTCGAGATTTCTTTTGATTCTTAGTGACAAATATTTCTTTTACAGTGTACGGCTCTTTATATAATGACATGGGTGATTTTGTTTAAAATATTTTATTGATAATTATTTTACTAAAATTACATATATGTATTTTTGTTCAAAAACATATCTATTATTTTGTGAAACTAATTTTTATGAAAATCTTTAAAATTCTTGTTATGGTTTTTCTATTGGGACTTCCTTGTTTCACTTCCTTCCAGTTTCAGGTACCTGGATGAACATGGATTGTTAGTTTTTGGCTTAGGTGGAAGAGTTGGTGTTGATGATTTAATTTATTTATTTAGAGATTTTGTATATTGTTTGAAAAATTAGATTCTGTATTAATAAAAGGATATATATATATATATATTTTATGATCCTGGGTGTATATTTAAGTATTTGAATTTTAATGAGATTAAGGAATTTTATTAGAATTTTTGGGTCAATTTAAATAAAGATTCTTAACATATTAAGATGTCACTTTTATAATTTTCGCCTAAAACCTTAAATTTTGTTGAGACATCTCTGGTTAATGTTTGGTGACACCAGCACCTTAAATTTGAAATTGGAGAAAATTTAAGTTATAATCGGTTACATAGAATTTAAGCTTTGTAATTAGAATTAGAGAAAAATAATAACTCCAAAAATTAAATTAATTTTTTTTCCAATTCCATCAATTCTAATTATAAGCCTCCAATTTTATGTACCCAAACACACTACTAGTACAAATTTTGAACTAAACCCGTTACAATATCAAATATAAGGTACCGATTTAATACTTCCAAATATAATATCAATGGTATCTTTACAACATCATGCTCTAACATAATTATTCAAAAATAATTGAAAACAAGTGGCTTTGATTGGGAAGGCATTGTTGTTTATGGAGTATTTTAAAATTATTGGTCGGTTGGTTTGTTCTGTGGACCAATTAGTCAGTGTTTTATTCTTTTGTTTGAAATTGCTAACTTTTTTAATAATTAAATAAAGCATGATGTTAGTTGCTTGACCCCAATTCAATTGCTCGACCCCAATTCAACTCATGTGGCCGAATTAGTGACATGACTCTTTAAATTAATCCATTGTTAATTGCGCTCCTCAATATGGAACAATTCAACTAATGCGACCCAATGAATAAAGAAATAAATTTAATTTTATATGACAATTTGTATAAAGTCCATTTATTTTCCAAAAGAAAATATTAGGTGACTTCCTATGATTATATATATTATAATGTGATCTCATATGGGCATGAAAGAAAAATTATATTCATTTATTCTATTCACAGTTTTGCTCAATCCTCGTTCATTCTTTCACCGTTCTATATTATTGACTCAGTCTTGGTTTAATTAATTTTACTATTGCATATGTTAGATTGTTAATTAATCTTGGGTCTTCATGTTATCATGTAATTAATAATTATCGCCTCTGAGACTCGAGAAGACTTCATAGTCCCATCCTGCAGCAGCAGGTGAAGAGGTGGACAATGAACAAGTGTTGGAAGGTGGCAATGAAGTGTTCTTTAAACATTACAAACAAATAGGTGGACAATGAACAAGTGTTGGAAGGTGGCAATGAAGTGTTCTTTAAACATTACAAACTAATTTTTAAAAATTTAATTCTCCTAAATATTAACATATAATAAATTAAGATTTAACAAAAGAATTAAAAAGAGAAAAAGTAATTATAGTTTAAATATTGTATATAATGTATTTAAAAATAAAAAAATATATAAAAATAATCTTAGAATTCGGGTTCGAATTGGTTTCGATTGTTAGCATTTTAATCTAAGTCCAACCTTTTGAAATTTTTCAACCTAAATTTAACTTTAATTATAAAAAAATTGCCAATCCGGTGTTTCATGCACGCACTAAACATATTGAATTAGACTATCACTTTATCCGTGAACGTGTTGCAGCCCGCACTCATCGAATTTAGTTTGTGTCTTTGAAGGACCAGCTTGCTGATATATTTACCAAAGGATTAGCCAAGCAGCGCTTCTCACATCTCAGTTCCAAACTCGTCTTGCCTCTGTCGTCGCGTTTGCGGGGGTATATTGGATGAATATTCTAGTCTCCATGGATTGTGGGATTACACAATATAAATTAAGGAGAAATATATGAGATTACATACTGTAAATTAGGAGTGTATAGCTAGTTGTTATAATTCTTAGATTGCTTTAATCTTGGGATATGTTTCATTTATCAGTTGTACTCTATTGTATATATATATATGTGATAGCAATACACGAAAATTAGAAATTCTTTGTGATCTTTCATCTAGCCACGGAAACTTAAGAGGAACTTATTTACCCAAAAAACTTAACAGGAACTCATCAGTACCGAGACTCTCCTCTCACACATTGGAAATGGATTCAACGATCTGGTTATGGCTATCTTGTCTCATCACACTTCCTGCAATTCTCCTCACCTTTCTTGTGTTCATTTTGAAGAAGATCATCAACACTTCATTAGTACCTACAGTACCACCTCTGAACACTTCTTCATTATCCACCACTCCAGCTGCAAGATCGGATCAGTATTAATTTTATGAGTTTGTTGACCGTTTTGACGGGCAGATCACATCAAGGGGGCCATTGAGCATAACAATAAAACTTTAGGGAAAATCATTGTAATAAATCTTAAATGTTTCACCTGTATGAGATTTGTCCAAATTTTAGGAAAGGTCAATATAATTTATCCTCATAAAATTATTGTATTGATTGAGAAAGGATGCCGTTTGCTGAACGATGTCCTGGTCAAAAAGAGTTGGGTTGCATATGATCACTATCACGAATCATGTACAGAATGACAGACAAGAAAGTTAAAAACGATGTGAAAATCAAGAGTTAGGTTGCATATCACTGTTACTATGTGAAAGTTAAAAACGATGTGAAAATTAAGAGTTAGGTTGCATATCACTGTTACTATGTGAAAATCAGATCTTAGGGAAGGTCAATTTAATTTATCCTAATAAAAATATTGTATTGATCGAGAAAGGCCACAAAAGGAAGCAACTAAAGAACAAGACCAAGTCCAAGAGATAAGGGGGCCAGACACAAAAACAATATAAGAAAGTCTGCATTTTACTTAAGGATTGCCGTTTGCTATACGATATCCAGGTCAAAAAGGGTTGGATTACACTTCACTATCATGAATCATGTGCCGAATGATAGACAATAAAGTCAAAAACGACGTGAAAATTAAGGGTTGGGTTGCATATCACTGTCACTATGTGAAAATTAAATAATAAACGATGTGACAAAAAGTTAAGTTCCCATCATTTTCATTTCTAGCCACTGAAACTTAACAGGAACTTATATACGGAAAGGAAAAAAACCTTAACAGGAACTCAACAGTACTGAGACTCTCCTCTCACACATTTGAAATGGATTCAACGATCTGTTTATGGCTATCTTGTCTCATAACACTTCCTGCAATTCTCCTCACCTTTTTTGTGTTCGTTTTGAAGAAGATCGTCAACACTTCATTTACACATACAGTACCAGCTCTGAACACTTTTCATTGTCCACCTCTCCAGCTGCAAGACCGGATCAGTATGAAGTGTTCTTGAGTTTCAGAGGCAAGGACACACGTACAAGATTCACTGACCACCTACACAAGGGCCTGAAGGGTGCAGGAATTGACACGTTTCTAGACGATGATGAGCTACATATTGGTGAGGAAATAGGTCCTGAACTTCTCAACGCAATAGAGAATTCCAAGATATCCATCCCCGTCCTTTCCAAAGACTATGCTTCAAGTAAGTGGTGCCTGATTGAGCTCACCAAGATGGTTCTGTTGGGATTTATATGTCCTGGCATAGCAAATTCCTATCTGGATTGTATTGACATATGTTCCTGACATATCTGAAATATTTATGATTTATATAATTGGTGAATTCAATGTATTATGTTTCAATTCACTATGAAATTGATAGTGTCCTGTTAATTACAAGAAATATTTATATATATGTATGTGATGACAATCAATGCATGATATATAAATAGTAATTATAAATTGTTCATAGTCGGTAATTATGGATGGACTCATAATTAATTAAGACTTGAACTGGATCCGCGTTAGGTTGAGATATATTGCGAGAGCCGTCGTATGCAATTACTCCCTATTACCGTCATGGCATTTGACTCATAAGCATGAGAAAAGTATAGACTCTTTTATTAATTAATAATTACTTTGATTTGTTCGGCGGATTCTTCGGGATCCTTAGACCGACACTTTGGGTAGTTATGTAATTAATAGTTAGAGGGTTATATTTTCAATATTTGCATCATTGCTACTTGTATTTATTTTGTATTGATTATGGTTGATCACAAAGTAAATTCGAAGGCCTTCGTGTGTTTTTAGACAAAATGATTTATTATATATTTATTTATTTAAATTATTATTTTTGTCAAACAAATGTTTTATTGTGATCGAGCCAGAAATAATCAAAGGTACCAAAATAAATATATTAATTAAGTAGTCGGATTGATGGCTATATTTATCCGATAACTAATTATGCATAGAGGGGTCAAAGTGCAATATTGACTTAGAGGTTATTTATTATTTAATTGGAGTTCAATTAATTTCTTTTAGTGGAGTAGAAATTAATTTATGAATTAATTGAATTGGGTCCATGGACCGGGCCAATTATTAATTCATTGTAGCCAATAAAATAATAGGCCCAATGGATTCTCACTCATAACCCAACTTGATATTGGAATCATATTAGATTTGAGACATATGAATTAGAGATGGAGAAGGATTTGTTGTTTCCTTTTCTTTATTTTTATGTTGCCTATAAATATACATGGTCTATGTATATTTTAGGGGGTGATTTTTATGAGAAGGAAAAAGGAATAAATTTTCTCTCTCTAGAAAATTAGGGTTTATGTTCTCATCTAATGGAGGCTCCCACAAGCCTAGTTTTCCAAGGTCATTCATGGAGGCATATGAGTGATTCCTAAAGGCAAAACAATTACCAAGAAGATGGAGATCCAAGGAGAATGCATCTAGCAAAAGGGATCTACAATAAGTGAGAACATTCACTTTAGAGGAGAGATCTGAGGTTTACTCAAACCTTGATGTAAGTATTCAATCTTTTAGTTGAATAATACATCATATTTTATTTTATTTTTTTGCATAAAACTTGTCTCTATGTGATGAATCACGATCTATGAATTTAAATCCCTCGAAAGGTTTTTAAAACTAGCACGTTTCCCAACAGTGGTATCAGAGCATGGTTTGATTCATTACTAGAGATCATGATTTTATGAAAATCATCATTCATGGATCCAAAATTATATTCATATATATTTTTATTGATGTATGTTGATGTATGATTTAATATGTTGATATATATTGATACATAATGATGTATGAATAATTGTGAATGAATGATGATGTATGGATGGGCCATGGATGAAGCTTTTGATTTAGCCGTTTGAAAGTTCAATGATGTAATTTATTTTTTCCATTGTATTTCAAGTTGTAAATATTTTTAAAGCCATGCAATATTCATCAAAGGATGCTATGAAGCTTCAAGAAGGTCCAAAAGGGTTAAATTATGCTTCAGTAATTTTCTGGAATTTTTTGGAATTTTTCTGGAATTTTTTGAGGCTTAATTTAATTTTCTGGCATTTTTTTGGATTTTTTGGAATTTTTCCGGCGTTTTTCCGGTGGCCGGAGCTTCGCCGGCGGCGAGAAGGGGCGTCGGAGGTGGCCCGGATCAGGTGTGGCGTCAAGATGGTGAGCCTGGCGCGTGTTCCACACGCGCCAGGAGAGTGCACATGCACGCGCCAGCCAAGGGAGCTTGAACTCCACGCGCGTGAAGGCGCGTGGAGGCGCGTCCCACGCGCCCCAGGCGCGTGGGAGCGCGTGAGTGTGCATTCCACGCACCCCAGGTGCGTGCCGGCGCGTGGGAGCGCGTGGGAGCACGTGCAGCTTGCCCTAGGCGCGTGCCAGCGCGTGTGAGGTCCTCCGGGCTCGTTTCAAGCGGCGTTTTGCTTCTCCTGACGCGTACAAGCTTCCTATGGGTGTTTACAGACAGTTGAAGGATGCCCGTACAGCAAGAATAGTTTTTAAATGTTAAAAGCTGAATCCATTGGCCATTTAATTTGTATGTGATGCATGAAATAATTAATTGCTAATTATTATTGTTCATGCATTGGATCCATGATATTTATTTAAATGGCTTGATTTATATTAATTAAATTATGAAAATTAATTGGATTAGATTACTAATTAATTTGAGGGCACTTATTGGGAAACGAAAAATTATTTTTGTAAATTATTTTTAAAGTGTGCTTCAAATTAAATATTAGTGAATCGTTTAAAGTCCAAATATTTTCTAAATTTAATGTGATTAAAATCAAGACGTTTTGCATGCATTATATCATGTAAATTGAAAACCCTAATTATTAATGACTAAAAATTGAGTGGGAACGGGGATTTTTATACATTACCCCATGGCCTTCGTTATTAAAACCATTGTAATTAGATCTTCAAAAATAAGGCCCCACGCATGATTTGAAGAGTCTTAATATTACAAGAATGGTTGTCTCATGAAAATAAAAATATTAAATGTTCATTGTAATTAGATCTTTAAAAATAAGGCCCTACGCATGATTTAAAGAGTCTAGATTATAATGACAACATATTTAATGTTTTATTTTTTCATTAGAGCATTAATAATGTTATACACTCAATCTAAAATCAATAGTGTTAGCTCCCCAACGGAGTGGTCTACACTAGGTGATTTTAGAAAGGCTAAACATAATCGGGAGTCATTTCATATAGATAGACAAGGAATTGTCTTAAGAGATATGGAGATGATGGGATTTGCCCGCCAATAGCAATAATGAACTTCGCCAACCGAATAAGTTATTGGTGTATTGGTTATCCGATTTTTCATGCAGTGGTTAAGGGACCCACATACTATTTTAATGGAAGTGCTCACCTAATAGTAAATGAATCTCAACAATAGTAATAATGAACTCCTCCAACAGGATAAGTTATTGACATATTGATTGGTTGATTTATTATACTACAGAGTTGAGGGACCCGCATTAATTAAAAGGGATTGTTCACCAATAATGATAATGATCTCTTATTCGATTGAGATTTATTGTATTATGTGGTTAACAAGCTCATTTTAATTTTAAATATGCATGACATTATTAATAGTTCACCTTGCATATTGTATGAATGCATTTATATTCAGATTAATTATGTCTAATCCAGTTTATCTACTTGCTTACATATTCTATGATATTGGACCTTATTTATAATGACTGGAAAATGAACTTAGATATTTTATTCACAACGTAAGGGTACAAAATGTGTTTATTACTCCTATACCTATCTCTTTTACTTTGAGATACCAAATTTGACATTAATGCTTTTAATAAATTAGATAAGGCGAATGATATGACTTGGTGCAATATTCTAGAGTTTAGCTCGAATATACTCCAAAGCTAACATTTGTATTATTTTATTTTCTTCAAGCATCATATTAAATGTCAATGAGATATTTTGGTGAGATTAGATAGAGCATATGCCTAAGTACTGTGTCAAATTTAAATACCATCAAGATAGCCTGATGAACTCCAGTTTGAAATCAAATTTTGGAAAATGATTGTTTATTATTTAAAAATTAGCTGGAGATCAATAAGGCTGACTTGGGTGGTAAGTTTCAAGTTGACATGATTATTGCCTTGTTACCAAACTCATTCGACTCTGTTAGAGTAAACTAAATAAGGAATCAGTTTGAGTTCACACTCGCTGATATTCTTATAGAATTGGTAACAGAAGAAGGGATAATCAAAAGTATGGGCGTTCCTATCAATCTAACCTAGTCTATACCATCTTCTTCTAGGCCCAAGTGGACGGGCAAAGCAAAGAAGAAGGATGATAATAGGACTAGACTAGCACAAAACATGGGTATTCAAAAAGGTTAAAGGGAATAAGGCAGTGTAGGTTGAGGGCGAAGAAACCTGTTTCTTTTGTCGCTAACTAAAACACTAAAGGACAAACTGTTTAAGCAATGACGTGGCATAGGAAAATATATATTTAATCATTGAGCCATGTTATGTGGTTGCGTCTATTAATTCCTGATGGATAGATTCTGGAGCCACTAAACATGTTTGCAATTTATTGTAAGGATTTCAGGAATCCAGAAGCCTTGATGATATGGATATATATTTATCTTTTGACCTGATGCCAAGGTTGTAACTAAGTCAGTGGGAGTATTACATCTGAAATTAGAGAGTATGAGGATATTAGTATTAGAGAACTATCTTTATGCACAGAAGTGAAACGCAATCTCATTCTTATTTCACTTTTGGCTTATAAAAAAACTAGATCGTTATTTTGTAAAACTGGTTTTATAAAATTGAATAGATATGTGATTGCTTCTGGTGTATTGAAAGATGATTAATATACTATAATCACAAGCTCTTAAGATTTGCAGGATGTAGAAACTAATGTTGCATCTTCTAGATTGAATGTTAAGAGAAAATTTGTTATTCCTGACTCATTGTATTTTTGGTGTCTATTTTTGGGTTGTAATCAATCAAAATGAGATTTAAGATTGGTTAAAGAAGGTTTATTACCTAGTGAGGCAGAGGAGCCTAAACCAAACTTGTGAATCTTGTTTTGAAGGATAGATAACTCTAAGGGCTTAATCAGCCAAATGAAATAGACATAAAGAACAATTGGAGTCGGTACACACGTACACGTGTAGTCTTATGAACATCCAATCAAGATTACTCACGTTTTGGATAAATTTACCTGTTGCGACACAAGTCTTATACTTTTGGTATATTCCGAGAGGGTCAAGACTGATGTGGAGCTCAGATTAGGTAAACTTATCAAGACACTTCGATCTGATCGAGTATTTGAGTATTTCTTGGGATAGTGCAAAGACTATATGGTCAATGAGGGTGATGTGTACCAGTTTTCCGCAATTGACGCTAAATTAATTTAGGTGTCAAATAGGAATAACAGAATTCCACTTAACATGGTTAGATCTATGATCAGTAATGCCACATTATCTCTTTCATTTAAGAGTTTAGCGTTAATGACATCGATGCGCATTATGAACTGCATTCCATCTTAGTCTGTCTCAAGGATACCGTTGAGCTGTGTTTTTGACTAAATATTAGTTTGAATCATATGCACATATGGGGTAGTCTTGCACACGTGCGTTTGATATGGACAAGTAAGTTGGAATCAGATCATAGGCATGCTAGATTTGATAGCTACTCTAAATGTCACTGGGATGGATTATTTTATGATCTCAAAGATAAAAGTTGATTGTTTTCACTCACTGTTTATCTATAGGAGAATCATATTATGAATCACATACCTAGTAGCATAATGTTAGAGAATTTGGTATGAGTACCAGATGTACCACATGTAAACACACTTATTATAGAGATTGAGAATATATGAATTCCCTATTGATGCGTTAGCATCATCTACTACACAGATTCTTGCATCGGTACATTGATGTAGTGGGAGGATTATCATCTAATTCGACAGAATCATGTTTTTAGGTGAGACCATTATGGACATCCCTGTTAAACATGAGTTGGACCCAGTAAGCTACACGGAAGCGTGAACCGATGTGGATACAGATCGTTTTGGTGAGTTACTATGAAATCAGAGTTGGAATCTATATATTCTAATAAATTCTGGGATCTTGTAGAACTTTCTAGTAGGGTGATTCCTATGGAAGGCAAGTTAATCTACAAAAAGATACCAGAAGATTTCTTAGTGAATAAATCATGAGTGTACAAGGGAATGTCATTATTTTTCTTAATTCTATATATTGATGACATCCTACTCATTTATAATGACGTGGAAGTTTTGTCATCAATTAAAAGGTAGTTGTTCAATTACTTTTAAATGAAGGAATTTCAAGATGTAAGCTATATTCCTAGGATCAAGCTTTTGCAAGATCAGGTTAAAAGGAAAATAGGCTTATCTTAATAATCCTACATTGATAAAGTTTTGACCAGGTTTGGTATGCATAACTCAAAGAATGAGTTCTTGCTTTATTGATATGGATCGCTCTCTCTAGTAACTAGTTTTTCAAGACTAGCAGAGGAGATTGAGCAAATGAGACTGGAACAATATGTTTCGGCATATGAGAGTCTCATATATGCCATGGTCTATACCAAACAGGACATCCGCTACATAGTAGGGATAGTCAGTAGAGATCAGTCCAATACTGGACTTGACAACTGGTCTATTGTGAAAAATATCATTAAGTACCTAAGGAGAATCAATGATATCATACTCATTTATGGATGTGATGATATGGTCCTAGTCAGGTATGCTAGTTCTGAGTTTCAATCAGAAGTAGATACTATGAGGTTCATGACTTAGTGTATGTTCACTTAATGGAAGAGAAATCAGTTGGTAGATTGTCAAGCAGATTTCAACTGTTGACTCAAACCTGCAGGTGGAACATATTGCAGCCTTAAAGGTGGCAATATAAGCCTATTGGTTTGATCTCACTGATTTAGAGGTTGTGGAGCATACTAGCCTGCCTATCGAGCTATATTGTGACAATAGTGCAGAAGTAGTCCAAACCAATGACCCAAGGTTCCATAGAGGAACAAGATACACTGAGAGGAAGTATCATGTTCGACATGATATTGTCCGGCAAGAAAATGCACTTGTAGTTAAAACATTGCATTGGAACACAACTTTGTTGATCCATTATCAAAGGTGTCATTGATCAATAATTTTGATCATCATCTGGATAACATTGGAGTTAGGTGCAATTTGAATTGGCTATGAGGGCAAGTGGGAGCTGTTGGGATTTATATGCCCTGGCATAGCAAATTCCTATCTGGATTGTATTGACATATGTTCCTGACATATCTGAAATATTTATGATTTATATAATTGGTGAATTCAATGTATTATGTTTCAATTCACTATGAAATTGATAGTGTCCTGTTAATTACAAGAAATATTTATATATATGTATGTGATGACAATCAATGCATGATATATAAATAGTAATTATAAATTGTTCATAGTCGGTAATTATGGATGGACTCATAATTAATTAAGACTTGAACTGGATCCGCGTTAGGTTGAGATATATTGCGAGAGCCGTCGTATGCAATTACTCCCTATTACCGTCATGGCATTTGACTCATAAGCATGAGAAAAGTATAGACTCTTTTATTAATTAATAATTACTTTGATTTGTTCGGCGGATTCTTCGGGATCCTTAGACCAACACTTTGGGTAGTTATGTAATTAATAGTTAGAGGGTTATATTTTCAATATTTGCATCATTGCTACTTGTATTTATTTTGTATTGATTATGGTTGATCACAAAGTAAATTCGAAGGCCTTCGTGTGTTTTTAGACAAAATGATTTATTATATATTTATTTATTTAAATTATTATTTTTGTCAAACAAATGTTTTATTGTGATCGAGTCAGAAATAATCAAAGGTACCAAAATAAATATATTAATTAAGTAGTCGGATTGATGGCTATATTTATCCGATAACTAATTATGCATAGAGGGGTCAAAGTGCAATATTGACTTAGAGGTTATTTATTATTTAATTGGAGTTCAATTAATTTCTTTTAGTGGAGTAGAAATTAATTTATGAATTAATTGAATTGGGTCCATGGACCGGGCCAATTATTAATTCATTGTAGCCAATAAAATAATAGGCCCAATGGATTCTCACTCATAGCCCAACTTGATATTGGAATCATATTAGATTTGAGACATATGAATTAGAGATGGAGAAGGATTTGTTGTTTCCTTTTCTTTATTTTTATGTTGCCTATAAATATACATGGTCTATGTATATTTTAGGGGGTGATTTTTATGAGAAGGAAAAAGGAATAAATTTTCTCTCTCTAGAAAATTAGGGTTTATGTTCTCATCTAATGGAGGCTCCCACAAGCCTAGTTTTCCAAGGTCATTCATGGAGGCATATGAGTGATTCCTAAAGGCAAAACAATTACCAAGAAGATGGAGATCCAAGGAGAATGCATCTAGCAAAAGGGATCTACAATAAGTGAGAACATTCACTTTAGAGGAGAGATCTGAGGTTTACTCAAACCTTGATGTAAGTATTCAATCTTTTAGTTGAATAATACATCATATTTTATTTTATTTTTTTGCATAAAACTTGTCTCTATGTGATGAATCAAGATCTATGAATTTAAATCCCTCGAAAAGTTTTTAAAACTAGCACGTTTCCCAACAGGTTCAGTGTAGGAGGACTTTGTCGCATATCATATTACCCATTTTTTACGATGTCGAACTGTCCGATGTGAAAAAACAGGCAGGGAGTTACGAAAAGGCCTTCCAGGAACACCAGAAGAACTTTGATAGTGCTACTGTGGAGGAGTGGAAGAAGGCCTTGAGGAAGGTTGGACGATTGAAGGGATGGGAAGTGAAGAATCGGTAATTTTCTGATTCTTTTCCTTTTATGTAAATTTTCCTTATTAGTACCACCAACTATGAACTTGTTTGCTTCAGTTCTTTCATGTTAGGCACTAGTTTTGAATTTGTTTACAAACAACAGCTTCTTGCAAATTGTTAATCAAATGAATTTTGAATCTAATTTCTACTTTTCAGTTTTTTTTGAGAATAGAGAACAACTGTTGAAAATTTAAGGAAAACTACATATAGGTAGAGTTAGGAGTCCTAAATCGAGTAGGCCAAAATTATTTAGGGATTATTACATATAAATAGTGCTAATGACTTATATTTACCATATAATAGAGTCAAAGTTTCATAGTTTCTAAAAAATAAAGTTGACCAAAATGTTGATATGGATATGAAAAATCACTGTTTACCATATTAAGATACCACTTTTTAGCATATAAGTACTACTCTTTGTGCACGGAGGTACCCACTTTTATGCATCAGGTATCATTTTTATGTTTTTTTGTGCATCATGTATCATTTTTATTTTGTGCATAAAGGTACCTCTTTTATTCATACAAGTACGTAGAACCTGCATGCACTAAAAGTGGTACTTAAGTGAGAGTAAACAGTATTTTTTCATGCCTTCATTTTTTTTGAAACTATGAGACTTTGACTCCACCAAATAGTAAATATAGGTCATTAGCACCATTTATATGTAATATTTCCAATTATTTATTATTTTTCCCATACATAAATTATATCAATTATGTTTGGCAGGCATGAAACAAAGCTGATAGATGAGGTTATTTCAAGGGTATTGGAAGAAGTAAGAGGGAACTCGGTGGTTGAAAATGAATGCTTAGTTGGAATTGAAGGTCATGTAGAAGAAATGATGAAATTGTTGAGTGTTAATTCCAAAGATGTAAGGATTGTGGGAATCCATGGAATGGGAGGAATTGGCAAGACCACTATAGCCAAGGTCATCTACCACCAACTCTCCCAACATTTTGTATCATGTTGCTTCCTTGCAGATGTTAGAAAAACAGAACAACACAAAGGTATTGTTCATTTGCAAAACCAACTTATATCAAACATCTTAAAACGGAGATGTCTTGATGTTAGTACCATGGATGAAGGAATTAATGCCATCAAAAAGAGATTTTCTAAAAAGAAAGTTCTTGTTGTCATTGATGATGTCAGTCACAAAATTCATCTTCATGCGCTTGTGGGAAAGTGTGATTGGTTTGGTTCAGGAAGTAGGATAATTGTCACAACTAGGGACAAAGAAATTCTAAATTCAACTGAGGTCAATTGGACTTATGAACCAAAGGAACTGGATTCTAATCAATCTCTTCAACTTTTCAGCTGGAATGCTTTTAGAAGGGTCCATCCCCCAAAAGACTATCATACTCTCTCTAGAAATGTTGTTTCCACTACTGGAGGGTTGCCTTTGGCTCTTGAGGTTATTGGCTCTTTTTTATCTGGCAAGGGAAAAGAAGTATGGAAAGATACCTTGAAGAAGTTGAAAAGAATGCCAGATGGCCATGTGCAGAAGAAGCTGAGAATAAGTTACGAAGCATTAGAATATGAGCAACAACAGATATTTCTCGATATTGCATGTCTTTTCATTGGAGTTGATAAAAGAATTGCTTTTCATATGTGGGATGACTGCAATTTTTATCCGGAAAATGGGATTGAAGTTCTTCGCCATATGTCATTGGTGAAAATTGGAAGTAACAATGAGTTAATGATGCACGATTAGGTTAGAGACCTTGGTAGGGATATTGTCCGTCAAGAAAACTTTATGGATCCGGGGAAGCGTAGTAGGGTGTGGTCTCATAAAGAAGCCTTCGACATACTGGAGAGTCTTACAGTAAGATCCAACTCCTTCCCTTATTAAGCATTAATTTTCTTGTCATTGTTTTTTTTTTTTTTAACAAAGTAAGAAAGGTTAAAAGTTAGATTAGTAAATGTAAAGAGTCGAAGTCTGGCACTTCAAAGTCCACCGAATGCACTAATCCACTCGGCTATCGAGGCATCTGCATTTTCTTGTCACCTTAGTAACACAATTATGTATGAACAACTCAAAAGTTGAAATTAATAAAAACTGAAATTCTTGAGGGTGAGTATCGTCATTAGTGCTAGTTTTTGTGCCCATAATAATTATAACCTTAGTATATTTTTTACTTATCTAAGGTTCTCTTTTGGCAGGGAACAAGGAAGATTGAAGCTCTCTTTGTTGACTTTGGATTAGAGTCACAGGTTGCACGTTGTCTTACAAATGAAGAATTTGCAAACCTATCTAATATAAGGTTCCTTCAAGTTGGCAATGCAAAGCTGGATGGAGATTTTAAGCGACTTCTTTTAAAGTTAAGATGGCTTCACTGGAACGGATGCCCAGAAATTTTTAGACCAACCAATTTTCATCTAAAGAATCTGGTCATTCTTGATTTATCACGGAGCGAGGAGGTCACAGAAGCCTGGAAGGGTTGGAATCATATCAAGGTTTCACCAATTTCTCTACTTTTATTTCGTGTGTCTCATCACATAATTCTTTGTAATTGATCCTAAGCAATTCTTTTTTTCCTTATTTTGTAGATTGCAAGAAAGTTGAAAGTTCTAAATCTCACGAGTTGCAAATACATGGTTAGAACTCCTGACTTCTCGGCATATGCAACTCTGGAAAGGTTGATTCTTGAAGGTTGTGAGAATTTGGTTCATATTGACCCATCAATTGGGTATCTCAAGAGTCTAGTTTTCTTAAATGTGAAGAATTGTGCTAAACTGAAACGGCTGCCTCCGGAATTTGATTATGTGGAAGCTTTAACGGAGCTCCTCATCGATCGTACTTCTATTCAAGAAGTCCCTATTGGTAGAGGTGTTTTGAAGAAGCTTGAAATTCTTAGTGCCACTTCTTGTTGTTCATTAACTCAAATTTCTACTTCAATCGGTTACTTAACATCTCTATCGGACCTTACATTAGATTATTCACCAATCACTGAACTACCAAACTCAATTGGTTCACTAGTAAAATTGCAATGCTTGTCATTAAGGAATTGCGAATTAGAAGAACTTCCAGAATCCATTGGGAAATTAGAGTCATTAATTGAGATGCACTTGTCAGGAGAAAATTTTAGACAATTACCTGATTCCTTTGGCAACCTAAAAAGTTTGAGAATTCTTAAGATTAAATGCCAGAATCTGAAGGAAATTAGGAGCCTTGGAAGATTGAAATCCTTGGAATTTTTGGTTGTGAGTTGTTGCATATCATTGGAAACATTGCCTGATCTATCAAACTTGAAATTACTGGAAAAATTAAAGCTCAAAGGGTGCAAGAAGCTACATGAGATTAAGGGTCTTAAGGGTTTGAAATCCTTGAAGATGCTGGACTTTTCATTGTGCACGGCCTTGGAGGGGATACATGATCTATCAAACTCTGAAATGCTAGAAGAATTAAACCTTTGCGACTGCCAGAAATTACATGAAATTGAGTGTCTTAAGGCTTTGAAATCCTTGAAGATGCTGGACTTGTCAGGTTGCACAACCTTAGAGAGGATACCTGATCTATCGAACATGAAAATGCTGAAAAAATTAAATTTCTACAACTGCCAGAAGCTACATGAGATTGAGGGTCTTAAGGATTTGAAATCCTTGAAGATGCTAGACTTGTCATTGTGCACGGCCTTGGAGAGGTTACCTGATCTATCGAAGATGGAAATGCTAGAAAAATTAAAATCCTGCAACTGCCAGAAGCTACATGAGGTTGACGGTCTTAAGGATTTGAAATCCTTGAAGATGCTGGACTTGTCAGGTTGCACAGCCTTAGAGAGGTTACAAGATCTATCAAACTCTAAACTGCTGGAAGAATTATACCTCTACAACTGCCTGAAGCTACATGAGATTGAGGGTCTTGAGGCTTTGGAATCCTTGATGATGCTGGACTTGTCAAGCTGCATAGCCTTAAAGAGGTTACCTGATCTTTCAAACTTAGAAAGGCTGGAAGAATTAAAGCTTGCCGGGTGCCAGATGCTACAAGAGATTGAGGGTCTTACATCTTCGAAATCCTTGAAGATGCTGGACTTGTCAGGTTGCACAGCCTTAGAGAGGTTACCTGATCTATCAAACGGGGAAATGCTGGAAGAATTAAAGCTCGCCGGGTGCTTGAAGCTACATGAGATCGAGGGTCTCAAGGCTTTGAAATCGTTGAAGATGACGGACTTGACAGGTTGCACAGCCTTAGAGAGGTTACCTGATGTATTGAACGTGGAAATGCTGGAAGAATTAAAGCTCACCGGGTGCGAGATGCTACATGAGATTGAGGGTATTATGAGTCTGAAATCCTTGAAGATGCTGAACTTGTCAGGTTGCACAACCTTAGAGAGGTTACCTGATCTATCGAGCATGGAAATGCTGGATGAACTAAAGCTCATTGGGTGTCTGAAGCTACACGAGATTGAGGGTCTTAAGGCTTTGAAATCGTTGAAGATGATGGACTTGTCGGGTTGCACAGTCTTAGAGAGGTTACCTGATCTATCGAAAATGGAAATGCTGGAAGAACTAAAGCTCGTAGGGTGCGAGAAGCTCCATGAGATTAAGGGTCTTGAGACTTTGAAATCCTTGAAGATGCTGGACTTGTCAGGTTGCACAGCCTTAGAGAGGTTACCTGATGTATTGAACGTGGAAATGCTGGAAGAATTAAAGCTCACCGGGTGCGAGATGCTACATGAGATTGAGGGTCTTATTAGTTTGAAATTTTTGAAGATGCTGAACTTGTCAGGTTGCACAACCTTAGAGAGGTTACCTGATCTATCGAACATGGAAATGCTAGATGAACTAAAGCTCGTCGGGTGCCTGAAGCTACATGAGATTGAGGGTCTTAAGGCTTTGAAATCGTTGAAGATGATGGACTTGTCGGGTTGCACAATCTTAAAGAGGTTACCTGATCTATCGAAAATGGAAATGCTGGAAGAACTAAAGCTCGTAGGGTGCGAAAAGCTCCATGAGATTAATGGTCTTGAGGCTTTGAAATCCTTGAAGATGCTGGATTTGTCAGGTTGCACAGCCTTAGAGAGGTTACCCGATCTATTGAATAATTCATTGTTCACCTCTCCACCTGCAGAATGGGACTATGAAGTGTTTCTGAGTTTCAGAAGTGAAGACCCTTGTAAAACCTTCACGGACTACCTCTACACTGACCTTGGGGAAGCAGGAATTCGCACGTTTAGAGACGACGATGAGCTTCGCATTGGAGAGAAAATAGGTCCTGAGCTTCTCGAGGCAATACAGCACTCAAAGATATCCATCCCTGTCTTTTCCAAACACTATGCTTCAAGTAAGTGGTGCCTGCTTGAGCTCACCCAGATGGTTGAGTGTAAGAGGTCTTTCGGGCAGATGATATTACCCATATTCTACGACGTCGAACCATCCGATGTGCAACACCAGACGGGGAGTTACGAACAGGCCTTCCAGGAACACGAGAAGAAATATGATAGTACTACTGTGAAGGGATGGAAGAAAGCCTTGAGGGAGGTTGGAGAATTGAGCGGATGGAATGTCAAGAATAGGTAATTGTATATATTTATTTATATATACTGATGTTGCTATTTTAACATTTCTGATTATTTTCCTTTAATGTAGATTTTTCTTACTACAACAAAACCAACCATGAACTTCCTTGGTTCAGTTCTCTCAAATTAGACACTAGTTTAACTTAGTTTACAAACAATGGTTTTTGACAAATTGTTCATCAAATGAATTTTGAAGCTGCTTTCTATTTTTCAGCTTTCTGAGAATATACAACTACTGTTGAAATTTAAATTACGTAGGCCATATATATTTATCGTTTTTCCTATAAATACATATATGTGTGTATGTGTATGTGTGTGTGTGTGTGTGTGTGTGTGTGTGTGTATGACATCAATAATGTTTGGCAGGCATCAAGGAGAACTGGTAAAGGAGGTTGTTTCAAAGGTATGGGGAGAGCTGAGAAGGAATCACTCATTGGTTGTAAATGAAACCTTAGTTGGAATTGGTGATCACGTAGAAGAAATGTTGACATTATTGAGCGTTAATTCCAGTAATGTAAGGATTGTGGGAATCTACGGAATGGGAGGAATTGGCAAGACCACTATTGCCAAGGTCATCTATAACCAACTCTCCCAACATTTTGATTCCTGTTGCTTCCTTGCAGATGTTAGAGAAACAGCACAACACAAGGGTCTTGTTCATTTGCAAAACCAACTTATATCTAACATCTTAACACAAAGATGTGCTGACATTAGTACTGTGGATGAAGGAACTAATGTAATCAAAGAGAGATTTTCTGGGAAGAAAGTTCTTGTTGTCGTTGATGATGCCGATCACAGAGATCATCTTCAAGCACTTGCACTTGTGGGAAAGTGTGAGTGGTTTGGTTCAGGAAGTAGGATAATTGTCACAACTAGGAAAAAAGAGATTCTAAATCCGACTGAGGTCAATTGGTGGACTTACGAACCAAAGGAATTGGATTTTAATCAATCTCTTCAACTTTTCAGCAGACATGCTTTTAGAACGGACCGTCCCCCACAATACTATGATATTCTCTCTATGGATGTTGTGTTCACTGCTGGAGGCTTGCCTTTGGTTCTTGAGATTATTGGTTCTTTTTTATCTGGCAAGGGAAAAGAGGCATGGGAAGATACATTAAAGCAGTTGGAAAGAATACCGGTGCAGCATAAGCTGATTATAAGTTTCAGAGCATTAGAAACTGCACAAAAAAATATATTTCTCGACATTGCATGTCTTTTCACTGGAGTAGATAGAAGAATTGCTCTTCACATGTGGAATGGTTGCGGATTTTATCCAGAACATGAAATTGAAGTTCTTCGTCTCATGTCATTGGTGAAAATAGGAGATAACAATGAGCTAATGATACATGATCTGCTTAGAGACCTTGGTAGGGAAATTGTCTGTCAAGAAAGTGTTATGGAGCCGGGGAAGCGTAGTAGGGTATGGTTTCATGAGGACGCCTATCACATATTGAACCATCATACGGTAAGTTCCAACTCCTTCATGAATAGATGCCCCTTATTAAGCAATGATTTTATTGTCACATTACTAACACAATTATGTATGAACTACTCAAAAGTTGAAATAAAAACTGGAAATTCCTCAAAGAGAGTGAATATCATCATTAATACTAGTTTTTGAGTCCATCATAATTATAGCCCTAGTATATTTTAACTTATCTAATGGTTCTCTTTTGGCAGGGAACAAGACACATTGAAGCTCTTTGTGTTAACTTTGAATTAGAGTCACAGGCATGCTGTCTTACGAATGAAGAATTTGCACACCTACCTAATCTAAGGTTCCTTCAAATAGACTTTGCAAACCTGGATGGAGATTTTAAGGGTCTTCTTTCAAAGTTAAGATGGCTTCGCTGGAACGGATGCCCTCAAATTTTTAGACCAACCAATTTTCATCTAAAGAATCTGGTCATTCTTGATTTATCACAGAGCAAGGTCACAGAAGACTGGGAGGGTTGGAATTATATCAAGGTTTCATCAATTTCTCTGCTTTTGTTTCATGTATCTCATCACATAATTCTGTGTAATTGATTCTAAGCAATTCTCTTTTTCCTTATTTTGCAGATTGCAACAAAGTTGAAAGTTCTAAATCTCACAGGTTGTGCTGACATGGTTAGAACTCCTGACTTCTCAGCATATGCAAGTTTAGAAAGATTGATTCTTGAAGACTGCAAGAATTTGGTTCATATTGACCCATCAATTAGGTATCTCAAGAGTCTAGTTTTCTTAAATGTGAAGAATTGTGCTAAACTCAACAGACTGCCTCGGGAATTTGTTTATTTGGAGGCTTCGATGGAGCTCCTCATCGATGGTACTTCTATACAAGAAGTCTCTATTGGTGGAGGTGTTATGAAGAAATTGCAGGGTGTCAGATTTTAGTGTTTAACATGCAACCTGATGGCATGGTAATTATATATGTTCTACGGTTGTATTTGTTTGATGGTTTTTTCCATAATTGATTGTTAATTGTGATTTGTTTCTCTGTTCCTTTTTAGGTAATTGATTAAAAATCCATGTCAGTTATCAATTATCGTTGTAGAAGTATATTGCACACTAGTATTTAGGCAGTTGGAATAAAGGTTTTTGGTGTTTATCCGTATATTATATGGTTGATTAGGAGCATGGTAGTCTCTGGTGTGTAAGTTAGAAGAGTTTGGTTTCAGGGACACATTGTGAAAAAGCTGAAGTTAACAACAATCATGCTATTTCTCTAATAAATTAAATCCATTGAAACTGTAGATATTTTATTAATAATATTCTTTTTTGTTTTTACAGCTTCGTATGGATGATTTGTTCTTTTAACCCTTTTCCTAAAAGTATTCTCTTTTAGTAGACTCTCTTCTATTATATTAATAGTTGTTCAGAACAATATATGGAATGACATTGTATTTCTTATGAATTGATGGTTTTTATAGGTCTTTCCCTATTACTCTCTATAAAATTGTTGGTAATATTGCATCGAAGATATTAGGATGCTACTGAGACAGACAGAACAATTAAACAGAAATTGAATACGAGGGTGATTATTTTGATAAATGGTAAAATTGACATGTAACCTCCTCCCCTCAACCCAACAATAAGATATGATTTCTTCTAATGTACAACATAGACACGTGTTTGCTGATTATGACACCTTAAGATAAGTTGGAGGATTTCAATCAAGCTGGTGATCTTCAGATGTTCCTTCCTCCATAGGCTCCATGTAAATTTCTCAAACTTTTGACACAAACATCTTTGCATTTGAGTTTCTTGCAGAGTGTTAGCGTAGCATTAAAATATTCAGCTGCATGCAGAAGTTATTTTTCATCTCTTGAATTTTGTATTTAAGTCTCTAAAACTTTAAACATTGATGCTTGCTCTCGTCTTTATGAAAAGTTTCAACCTTTTGGACTTTATGTTTTCATTTCACTTCTATGGATCAAATTATGAAATTCGATCAATTAACTTCTTTCTCACTTTATATTTTCAGTCCACTTAGATGGGACAGTCAAATTTGATTGAGTAGTCTTTCACTAATGCTTTGTTCACTTCTGTGGTTTGATGAATCTTGCATATCTGAATGGTTTACAAGATTGCTTGATCACTATATTTTGCTCACTTTGGACAATCATTTCAGTTCACTCTTGTTCAGTGTTTGTTCTGTTCACAATTGTTATTGGCTTTCATCTTGTTCACTCTTGTTGAATGCTTGTTCAGTGTGCATAACCAGTGATGACTGTGTTTATATTATATTTGCTTGAACGTAGATTTCAAATGTTTGCTCTCTAATGACTATGCTATGGTTGAGTGGTATTTTCGGTTGCTTAACCAATTTTAATTTCGTTTCGTAGATTTGGTTGCTGTTGATGCCCATCCATCCATCTTTGTTGCACTTGATTGTTGAAGCTGTGAGGGTTGGTTTTTTATGCTAGCTGCTGCTATCATCAACTCTGTGTTGGTGTCATTTGATGTGTACGTTCTGCTCTTCACTTGACCTTTCGTCTAATCATTGACTCTTGCTGCTCTCGACTATTCTTTGGTGTCACTTGGATGATGCTGCTCTGTTAGTTATTATTTTGACTAGTGGTTCTCTTCTTTAGTTGGCTTAATTTGGATGATGTTGCTGCTCCACTTATCTTTGGTTAATTTGACAGATCTGATACGCATACCATTGTGCTTAATTTCCTCAGCCTTGTATATTGTACATTTGTCAGTTTGGTGGCATGTTATAGTTTGATCTCTACTTTTTTTTTTATTTTTTTGTGCATTTCCAATAGTTATTGGAGATGCACAAATTTTTTTGTATGTACAGTGTTGTATAATTTTTTGGACTTATGGTACCAGCAGTGCACTACACTGTTTTATATATATATATATATATATATCGACTGAGGTTATACAAAACAATTGTTATTACATTTTTTTTTTTTTTTTTAGCCAAACTATTTTGTTATAAGGTTGGAAAGGAACAGTTTCAATCAAAGGCTGGTCATTTGTTTTATTATTATTATTATTATTTTTATTTTTTCGGAATGAAAATGGAAACACATAATAACATTTTTACCAAAGTGGCCCTTAATAAGCAAGTATATTTGAGGGATTTGTTTTCAGTTGATTTGTCCCAATTATTATTTAACGATTTGAATTGTTGAAAATTTGAAATGTTTTGTTAATGTAAATCCGAAATAAAATGAAATAAATAAATAAATAAGCGCGGGAAAAAAGTTGACAGTTTTAGGGTTCAGTTGCCCCCCCAAGAAATTTATTAGGGCAAATTATTCATTGGAGCGCAAAATCGGTGATCGTTTGATCAAGTCAATAGATGGAACCGAGGTTTGGAGATCGGAACCATCGAAAGCATCAATCTCAGATGTCGCGAGTCAACAGTGGATCATTTGGCAGGGCAAATTCATCATCTCCCTTGCTGCATCAAATAGACCTTTCCTTCCTCTGTCTCACTTCTTCAAGACCAAACCAACTGGTAAATTCTTCCTTAATTTTACCCCCATTTCTCTCTGTAGTATATATACACACTGTAATAATACTATTCCTTTCTTTGTTTCTTTGTTTATTAATTGTGATTTGTTTCTCTGTTCCTTTTTCACACAGTATAATTGATGGAACATCCATTTCAGTTATCAATTGTCACTACACAACTATACTGAACACTAGTATTTAGGCAAAAAAAACATTCACATCTCACCTCTTATATATTTTGTACATTGTACAATTTTTTGGACTTTTAGTATCAATACACTACACAGTTATTTCAATATTATATTCAATGCATGTACTACTTCCCATTCTTATAATGCTTTTCTTGTCAAATTCCAATTTTTGAAATTTGCAGATATTTGCAGTCAAAAGGCTAGCCATATGTTTTTGAAATAGCCAATTCTCTAAATTATTATATATTCCACTCTTGATTTGGAAAAAATGAAAATGCATGTAGAGGTTCCATTGGTTAGTTATCGGTGACGTCACAATTATTTTTGTTTGCAAGAGACAACACTCTCATATTGTTCATTCAAAATTTTTATCGCAACCGGAAAATTCCTTAGGGCAAAATTTTATCACTGTAATTTAGTTTGCTGAAACTTACGATGGGTGAAAAGAGATTGAAATAAGAATGCCAATGTAAATGAATAATAATTCTTGAAAAAGGAGATATTAGTCTTAAAAATGGCCTTAAAAGAGAGTTCTAAGTAGGGATGACAATTTGTGTTCATGTGTCATAATCGTGACGTGTCAACCTAAGAGTATTATACTAAAGAGGTTAACACTAACACGACCCATTTAATAATCATGTCAGGAACTCTCAATATTAACCCGACCTATTTATTAAACGAATTAGACGTGTTAACTTGTTTAATAACCTATTTATCAAAATCAAATATTATATTATTTAGATTATTTATAATAATCAATCAAATAATAAATGCTATAAAAAAAATATACATTAATTAAAGAGCTAATGTATATTTTTGTTAGGGCTTATGTTGAAATAACCTAGTTATCCATTATGATTGGGTCTAAATAGGTAATAAGTTACTTGGGTGATATTAATACGATTATGAAACTCTTAGTTAAATGGATCTAAATATGTTACACGTGTTGAACCTTTCAACCCTAGTACGACACTATTAATTAAACGGGTTAATCGTATCGACCCGTTTATGACCCAAACCCATTTAAAGTAAATTCAAATCCGTTTATCTTATGTCGTGTTGGAGTCACGTTGCTGGGTCAGGTAAAATCATGCCACCCCTAGTTCAAAGCCATCTGTCTGCCAATCTAGAATGGAGTTTGGTTAGCATGTTTCAATTTCGTTGATAAAATTGGTGAATTCTGGTGAATTCTCACTAGTTCAAGACCAAACCAACCGGTAAATTCTTCCTAAATTTTACTCCCATTTTTCTCTCTCTACATGTATACACACACGGTCACAACTCACAAGTATATATTTTGTAGTTGTATATGTTGGGATTGAGGCTTGAGGTCTTATTGCGGAGGAAGCTTGCTTACTTCAGAGTTTAGAGATGAAGGAAGTTACAGGGAACAAACCTTTTCCCTTCCTAAGGGTTATTATAGTAAATAACAATGTTCCTTTAACACTTTCAGTCCACCGTATCTTACCACGTTCGGACCAAGATCACCTCCAGTCCAACAGTAGTCCATTTGTGTTTTTTGTGTTAATGAACAGTAGTTACTAAGGTGGGTAAAAATATTTATTTGTTTTATACACAATTTCCATATATATATATATATGTATACACTGTTTACAAATACTATTTCTTGTTC